GTGACATTACCTACGGATTTTTGTCATTACCTACGGATTTTACCCGTAGATAATAAACAGTTTTTTAACTGCTCTTGGGAGGTTACATTGAAGGATGCCTATAAATAGAACGAAGCTTGAAAAAGAAAGGGAAATTGGCAGAGAACAGAAACACAAGTGAAAAGTCTACCGGAGAACGACGAATCATGAAGTTTCTGGCGATCTGGATTTCCATTCTTATTGACTGTTTTTACCGCTTTCTTTACTTTCCCTGGTAACTTATTTTCAAGCATTTTACATTCATCAATTTAAGTTCTCATACTTTCAATTACTTGCCAGTTATCTTTAATGCAATTTAAGATTATGTATTTTCAAATGCTTGTCATTTACCGTTTCTGCAATTTCGATGTTTTGCCATTTACTTTCATGCAATTTTAATTCTGTCATTTACAGTTAATGCAATTCCGAGTTTTTCGTATTTACAATTTCCTGTATTCTAATATTTCGCACTGCTTTTGTTTTCTTTTCGATACTTTTTACTGTTTTTTTTTACTTCGCGTTTCTTAATAAAATACCAAAAAGAGCACTTTCGATTTTCAATTTGTATGGTCAGTTGCATCGATAATATTTCTCGATCTTGTGACATTTTCGATTACCATACACGTTTTGATTGAAAATTGTCGCTAGCCTGAGTGAAAAGAATCTACGTGGTTGAAATTTGATCAGAACCTAAGAAATCGAAATCGATCAAATTTTCACCGGAAATACAATCATATATAAATATTACATAACATGTTACCCACAAAAAGATTGGACTTAAGCTCTTATGAAAAATTATGAAAATATCAATACCTATTATCAAAAGGTTGATTGCTAAAGTTGGAAAAAAATACGATCAATGATTAAATACTAAGAAAAACAGGTCATTTCATATATATAAATCATTCATTAAAGTGTCAAACAATCAATAAGTTTTATTTGTTTTTCTCTTTATGGAAAATGTATCTTCACAACCCATTTCTAAAACCGAGACCACGACACAATTGGTTTATTAATATATTTGTTTATCGTAAAAAATATTTATCCGAGTTACTTATATTTATGAGTTTTTTTATTTAAATTAGTAAATAACAATTTTTTAATTTAAATAGTATTTTAAGTGAACTCATAAACATAATAAGTGAAAATTTCAACGGCCTCGTTGAAAGCAGTATATACATGTGCTAGCAAAAATTTGGCCAAGCATATTCTAGGTTGGCCTAGGTGAAGGAGATATGCAAGGTCAAACAGATGGGAAGAGATTTGGATCAATCGAGGGCAAAAAACGTGGGTACACAACCAATACACTAAAAAGGCAATATGTTCTTCATCAGTTACAGTTATCGATTCATCATCGACGAAATGTTTCTCAAGGAAATGTCCATAAGCTTTCGATTCTCAATCGATCTTAGATCTTAGAGAGTTATCCGAGGGACATGCACCTTTAAAATATCTTTCCCCTATAGGTTCTAATCCAGTAATGGCCGCGACTTCAAAAAGGGTAGGCGAAAGAGGGCCGCAAGGTAATTCCAGGGCATGTATTTCCTTATTCCACAAATGAACAGCAGCCAAGAACATAGCCATGTCCAAATAAGATAAGTCACATCGGGACAGGTGCAAAAAATCGAAAATTCCCACATTTCTCCAATGATCCCTGAATTTAGCTTTGACCCTATCAAACCATCTAATGTACAAAGGTTTTTTGGAAGGTGGGTCTGTCCGATACACCTTAGAGACAAGGTTCAAGAAATCAATCCTAACTTCAGGTTGGTGTACCAGAGCCGAACTATTCGAGAGGTTGAGGGGAGAAAAGGTTCCATCAATAGGACGAAGAGGACCCCAAAAGCGTAATTAACACCATCGACGGTGTAAGGAATAAGTACCTGCGTCTCAGCAATTTTCCGAGAGGCTTCCTCCATTAGAGGGACTCGGAGCGAACTTCTGATTGTTGATCTCCAGCAGGTTTGATGCCAAGGAAGGAAGGGGTGGAGCGGAAAAGTCAGAAGATTTGGAGGAAGTGGTCATTTCAGTAACTGGTAGGATGAAGAAAAGCAAGGTAAGAGATGAAGGCGCAGGGACGAAGATAAGAGCACAAGGAGGAAGACGAAGTTGCAAAGAGGTAAAAGTTCGCGTAAAAAACCAGAGTAAAAAACCAATAGAGAGTTTAAAGGGAAAATAGCCTAGGGGGCTGGAAACGACGGAGGTGAAAGGTAATTAATGTAGCGTGTACAGTAAGACAGCAGACTGACGTGATGGCGACATAAAGCAAAAGGAAAATTGAAAACCCTGTAAACCCTAGAACCCCAAAAACCCTAAACCCTAAGTTTTGTGGGCCTCTAACAAGCAAAGGCGGGAATCACGTTGAAAGAATATAAACAGAAACTATTTATATTCTTCCAAGGGGGCATTTTGTTAGTAGGAAATCGAGAAAAGCGATCGAAAAATGAAGGAAAGAAAAATCAAGAAACATGTGACTGATCGGTAAAGCGAAAAGGTGGATGAGAAACCATTCGATGTCCAATTAGAAGGGCATGACACATAAAATCGAAAGTTAGAGTCGGAATCGGAGAAATAATAGTCAAGAGTTTATTGTGGAACAAACCAAGAAATTAGAAATATATGATGTTAAGGTTAAAAGAAATCAAAAGTAATCCAAAGACCTCGATAAAATCGAAATCTAAATCGAAAGAAAGGTCAACCCGCATAAATATCAAAATCGTGGCCAGATCTTAAAGAGAAGGAGTTAAACATGCACATAAGAAACAATTTCTAAATCGTGGCAGAGGAAGAAGATCATGGGAACGTGGGTGCAGTTTTAACACCATAGAAGAAGAAACTGCAACACGCACGGAGAACGTGGTAGCAGTTTTGTTAACTGCTCCTAGAAGGCTTGAATGATACCCTATAAATAGAGCAGAGGAGGAAGGAATGGGGAGCAGAAATTGGCAGAGAACAGAATCAATAGTGAAAAGTCTACCGGAGAAACGACGAACACCATGAAACTTCTGGCAATCTGGATTTCCTTGCTCACTGAGTACATTTACCGCTTTCTGTATTTTCCTTGGTAATTTATTTTGATGCAACTTAAATTCAGCAGTTTTATATTTCTGTATTTTCGATTCTTTGTCATTTCAATTCAATGAAAGTTTAAGTTTCTGCATTTAAGTTTCCCTGTTATTTAACATTCTGCAAATCTCGATTTCCTGTCATTTACTTTTCTTGCAATCTCGATTTCTTGTCATTTATATTTGCGCTGTTTGGGGTTTTCGCACTTTACATTTCCTCGCAATTTAATATTCCGTTTCTCGATTCGATACTTTTACTGCTTTCGGTATTTTAAATATAAAATACTAAAAAATAGCATTTTGATATTCTGTAATTTTCGATTCTCATACACGTTTTCGATTGAAAGTCAGACTGCTAGCCTAAGTAAAAAGAACTTACGTGGGAGGATTTTGATTAGGACCATAACACTTTTTAGAATCGAAATCGATCGAAATTCCACCAGAAACAACTACTCATTCTTAACTCCCTTAAAGCTTTTATCTTGGTATTCAATTTTTCGATTTTTGTTCCTTTTTTTACACTTGAGTCATCAATCTTCCTTTATCCTTAATTCTCCAATTTTTTTAATTTAATATTTTCTATCTTCTTTTAGTTTTGATGTTTTTTAATCTCTCAACATATCTATAATTTTGTATATAACAATAATATTATTATTATTATAAAGAAAATTACGACAAGAAAAATAAATTGTTAATCGTTAAAGCTTTTAACACATTAAAATTTCACATAAATAAAAACCTATATTTTAAAATTAAAATAATCAGAAAATGAATTTACATTATATGATAAAACCATATATTTTAAAATAGTTTATTCAATCTGAAAATTAGCAAACCAATATGATTTCAATCAGTTTAACCTCACGATCGAGTAGTAAAATTGACATGCAAATTATAATTAAGTGGTTATAATTGACCGCATATATGAGATGAGAAAATGATTAGGTAACAAATTACAAAAAGATATAATATACAATGTTATTAATATCTCAATACTAAAAACACTTTTTGCGCACATGTTGAGAGTATGTCTATTCACAGAGGAATATTTATATTTTAGAACACACAGGAAAAACTTTGCAAGAAAACAAGTTAATTAAGGTATGATTTTGAGAATTTGAGTTTTGGAAAGAAAAAAAAAAAGGGAACGATAAATATTTCATTTTAAATTAACAAAAATATAATTTTTATAAAAAGAATTAACACATTCAGCTTATATTTGTCAATCATTTTATTTCTTTTATTTTCAAAAACCAAATATTTTATTATCCGGACCTAAACTCTCGAACATACATATGTAAGATGATTTGGTAATCTAATCTTTATCTCCATTTTTCTGAGGTCGAATATTTCTTCTTGTAAATAGAAAATTAAGTTTCCTATAAAAGAAACTGCGCGGCAACGAGATAATGCTTTCTTCTTAGCATCTCATATATTTATCTTTTACACTCATCTAAAAAAATAAATATTATCTTTATTATGAAAGAATAAACCAAGAGTAAATCTGGATTTTCATAATGTGAAAAATTATTTTCATATTTAACTTTTTTTTTTGTATTAATCTTTTTAGAAGGGTAAAGTTATATTTCAGATTTTATAGTTTAGAACATAGAAAAAGATAAATTGTATCCACTCATCCAAAATTGTTATGAATTTTTTTGTCTAAAATGTTATAGATTTTGAATCACTAGTTTCATAAACTAGCAACTTTGTTATTATGTTTTAAATGAATATAGGAGGTGCAAGGAGAAAGTAGGATGGGTAGAGAGGAATGTGACAAGATAAAATATAGGTGAAGTGAAATACTCTTTAACATTTTTTTTTGTCACCACCGTCCATTCATTTTATAATGGCACATTCTTCTTGCATCCTTAAACTTTCTCTTTGCACCCCATATTTAATAACACATTTGTCAGTTTATGCAACTATTGATCCGAAAGCATATTCTACAGAGTATTCCAGATTGAAATTTTTTTAATAAATTTTGGATGAAAATTTGAAAATATTTAATTTTTTAAATCTTGGATTATGAAATCCGGAACATAATTTTATCATTCTAAAAAGATTAATCCTAAAAGTTTCCATAAAGTTATATCAAAAATGATTTTTCACTGGTATGATTTATGTTTTGGATTCATTCATCCAGAAGCTTTTTATAATGACTTTTTTTTTAAGTATTACGGATTAACCTCTCCAAATTTATTTGGGAAGTGTTCCATAATTATTTTTTCATACTATTTTTCAAAAAATGATTTAAAAAATGCTTGGTAAATTTTTATAAAAATCAATCTAAAAACTTATTCCGAGAAGTTTTAAGAAAAATGTATCTAAAACCTATTTTTTAATGAGAATAATGTTATTTTTTAATGAATATGACCTTGTAATTTTATAATATATTATGCAAAAAATATTCCAAAAGTTTTATATAATTAGTTTTTAGTAGTTTTATAATAGGATATAATAATAATAATAATAATAATAATAATAGTAATAATAATAATAATAATAATAATAATAATAATTCTCAATAGCCGATTCTAAATAAATGAAAGATGGATCAAGAAATTAGTAGGCGGAAGAAGTTAAAGCCCAATATAGAACAGTGTGGTTAGCAGCTCACCATAACACGATGTCACTTTATATCTGGCCCAGCGGGTCAAGGAGTTCAGATGGACCAATTTGACCCTCTTATTATGAATGGACCGTATGTCATGCCATCAAACTACCAAATCATACTAGCCCAATTTAAAAGATCAAATTTATACCATTAAATTTACTTATATAAATAATGTTCAAATAAAAAAGATTATAAACGTAATAAAATTTGTATAAAAGGTGAATAGCTGGAGTTACTAGGACATTAGAGTTTTCTAGTCGCTAATATATTAAAAATATGTTGTATCTTTATTTAGTTGTATTGTAAAATACAAATAAGAAAAAAAAATCTAATAAAAGGTATTTTATCGATAAAATTTTTTCGTTGGCACTAATTTATTTTTGAAAAAAAAAAAAAAGAATAGTGGAGTGTATGATTCATGGGGTTGCATTGCATCCGTAATCCAACGGTCGAAATATTTGATGAGTTTGAAGATAGGAAAAAATTAGGAGGTCGCGTGGAGATTGGTGTGTTGTTGGATTGCGTAGAGAGAATCCAAAGTTGAAGGGTGGAAAAGATTCGTGTAGGTGATAAGATAACGACATAGCGTGTTGGTGTGTAGTGGGTAGGTGTGAGTAATAAATAATAAAATAGCAGTGTGGGTCCTCTCTCTGTCACGCTTTTCTTCACTCCATCACATGCGTTCACCGTCAACGTTCAACGGCTCCTTTTCCCATCCATTTTTTCGTATATATATATTCACATGTGGTTCACCTAACTTAACCTAAACACTCCGTCTTTCATTCATGTCATTCAAATCACACACAGAGAGAAAAGGAAAGGAAGCAGAGCTTGACGAAGTGATGGGAGATGGGTGGGTTGGTAAGCACAAGAGAATATCAAACATTTCTCACTGTTTTTGCCGATTCCACCCATTCCTATGATTTCCTCTCGTTCCTCTCTTTCCATTCTCCTCTCAAACTTTTCTTTCTTACCCCCTTCTCTCTCTCGTATAAATTCATGGTAAGCTCTTTTCTTCTTCAGATCTCCTCTTTGCGCCATGGATCTGTGTTTTTATGGACCTTATACTCTCTATCTTCTAAGCATGTTTTACTTTACATGTATTTGTTACTTCAAGAATTAACTATGGCAGATTTACATTCAAGAACCAATACAGAGAACAAGAAACACCTTTTTTTTTTTTTGGTTCTCCTTTTTCAAGGTTTAACAAATTATAGTGCATGCATGTGTTCTTTCTTATAGATTTAAAGATTGCATCTGATTAATTAGATCAAGTTTAATGTTGGATTTTGTTTGTAGATCCATTAATGTATCAACCTGGACTATTTCATAGTATTTTATTGCATGGATTCTTGATCGAACTTAACATATGCGTTCAGGGAAATGGAGAAGACCGTGCCTGATTTTTGTCCTTGTTGTTGTTGACTTAGGCTGATTTTCGACTTTTTTTTTTAATGACATGATATGATCTTAGTATAGTTTTTATTAAGTTATATATGTATTTTTTTATAAAATAAATAAATTTTATTAAGATTATTTTTAATTTATTCCAAAATTTATACTGTTACATAATATATTGTTTATTTGATTTAAGTATTGTTTATTATATGTATAATTTATTTTAAATTTATTGTCTACGTCATCAATTTTACGGATATATCTTTTATTTGATAAAATGAATTATTTATTGACATGATATGATCTTAGTATAGTTTTTATTAAGTTATATATGTATTTTTTTATAAAATAAATAAATTTTATTAAGATTATTTTTAATTTATTCCAAAATTTATACTGTTACATAATATATTGTTTATTTGATTTAAGTATTGTTTATTATATGTATAATTTATTTTAAATTTATTGTCTACGTCATCAATTTTACGGATATATCTTTTATTTGATAAAATGAATTATTTATTGATTTATAATTGGTTATTTCATTTTATTTTGAATGTTACTAATGCTAAGCTTTTCTTGTTTTTTTTTTGTTGTTGTATGTTAGAACTACTAATTTTCGCTGAGAAATTGAAATTTCTTTAACAATAATATTAGAACACGAAGTGAAAGGGTTGAATTTCTTTACAATTGCACTATCTTTGATTAAATTTAATCGTGTTCCTGGTTAATCTGTCGATCAAGTTAGGAGTTAATAAATCTTATACATCAAATTTATAATTTTTTAGATTGTATTTTTGAATATGATATATACTAATACGGTGATTTCTCTATGCAATGAGGTAGGATTTTTGGGATATTTGTTTACATAAATATTTTAAAAATATTACTCCATTGCTATGAGAAAACATTCCCGGATTTGTATGTGTCATGTTGAAATATGCATTCGAGAAGGTCATAAATTTGATAAGACTTATACAAATCTTCAACTTTGTCGACTATTAATCCGTCACAAACTTAATTCTTAACTTACTTTTTGACTATTAGAATTTGCAAAGATTTTTTTTATTTTGGAGTCTAAATTTTGTTTTTGCAAATGAATTTAAAATAAAATATTCATTTTAGTTATAATAGGAAAAATGTTTATATATATATATATATATATATATATATATAATGAAACTTTTATTTTTACATATATAAACAATATGTAAAAAAAATTATAAAATTATTTTTTAAGTCATATTTACTTTACTAATATTTTCAAAATTGAGTTGCACCTTATTAATATATATATATATATATATATATATATATATATATATATATATATATATATATATATATATATATATAGAAAGAAAAACTCATAAATTAAAAAAAAAGATGATGTCGGGAAAAAAGGAAAATAAAATTACATGCCAAGAGATAAAAAATAAAAAGAAGGGAAATAGGAGAGAATAAAATTAGATTTAGTTTTAAATTATAAAATAATTATTATTTTACTAATTAAATAAAAATAATATTATTTTATTAAAAAATATAATTATAATAAATTAATTTAATAATATATTTTATTGTATATACATATAATTTAAAAAGAATAATAAATTTTAAATATAATATACATTTGTTTTAGTTTTTTTATTATTGTTGTCAAAATTACTTTTAAATATCATAATTTAAATAATATATAATTAAATATAGTGTAATGAAAATTTAGATAAGGCTAATACTAATTTATTGAAATAATAAAAATTTGATTTTAAAATTTATTGAGCTCATAATTTTCAATTAAATGACGTTGAACATGAGAAAATTTAGGATGTAAATAAAATTTCAAATTCTAATTTCAAACAAATTATTATAAACATTTTAATTATAAATATTTATAATTTATATTTAATAAAAAAATATTAAAAATTATTTAATATTTTTTTTATATTAGATAATAAGGTTAATTTGTTGAAATAATGAAAATTTTATTCTAAAATTTATCGAACAAAATTTTTAAATTAATGATATTGAATATGAAAGAGTTTAGAAGGTAAATAAAATTTAAAATTCTGATTTCAAACTAATTATTATAAATATTTTAATTATAAATATTTATAATATGTATTTAATAAAAAAAAATTTAAAATATAATATTTAATATTTTTGTCATGTTAAATAATAAGACTAGTTTATTAAAGTAATAAAAATTTGATTATAAAATTTATCCAGAATAATTTTTAATTTGATGAAGTTGAATATGAGGAAGTTTTGGAGGTAATTTTTTTTAAATGCTTATTTTAAACAAATTATTATAAACATTTTCAATTGTAAATATTTATAACATATTTAAAAAATAGTTAAAAAATATATTATCTAATATTTTTGATAGGATATTATATATTTAACTCAAGTTACATTTTCTAATATTATACATTTTATTTTATTTGAATAGGTTATAAGTTAATTTTAAATAAAAAAATAAATAATATATTTATTTAAAATAATTTTTATTAAAAAAAGAATATAAATAAAATAAAATAATTTTAATTAGGATGAAAATTACTCATAATTTATTAACCTAACAAGTTAGATTATGATCTATTTTAAAATATGGATTAAATTAAACTATTAGATTTTTTACTTAACTTATTTATTTTATATATTATTGGTATATATATCATATTGTTATAAATCTTATAGAATAAATTAGGTTTACAGTTCTTGTTGGGTTCAATTGACATGAACCATAGGTTAATTATGCCTTCATTGTTAACTCTCCTGTTTATAGAGGTTTGACTTCGTATATAAACAAGTCCAAAATCATTCATCTCAAAAAGAATTCTCAAATAGTGAATTGTGATGCTTGAAATGCCTTTAGATTGAGTTGTATATAAAACACCTTTAATGCATTAAATGTCACTTTTTAAGTCCTAGTTACAAGGAGAAAAGTATCATCAACTCTAGGAAGGTTGAAAACTTGTAACTATAGTACTTTGAGTACATTATGTAAGCCAAGATTTGAACCTCCACATGAAAATTAACAGTAATGATTACTATATAAGTAAAATTATGGTTTAGGATAAGAATAGTATCAAAAGTATTTATTACAGTTGGACCATCATTTCCAGCTAAGGCCAATGAGTTCTGATTATATATTTTCCTCATTGCATCAAATGCTTCATAGTTTTTGAACATAATAATAATTAGGACTTCCTTCATCCGTGACAATGGATATGACATTCATATATCAACATAAAAAATACAAGAAATATATTCATTTATCCACATGATGACCAAAAGTTCTCATAAATTGCTAAAGTAACATTTTCCAATTGGCTAACCATAAAAAACCTAAAATTGAAATCAGATTGTCCACAACTTTTGATGCAGTGTGAGACTGAGTGTCAAGGGTTTTACAAATGGAGGACTTTGAGTCCTTCACAAAAAAAAAAACCACCACAATGACAAATAAATGACACAACATAAAGGAAAAAATTCAATGTTTTTTCTTTTATCACTCTTATTAGTCCCACATTGACTAATGTATTAAGATGAGTGAACTAAAAATATTCTATAAAACAAGTGAGTTTTCTCGTTGATATGTCAAGGAGTCGTGTGATGAGTAGATAGCGAATTATTCTTTCGTCTTTTACTATCGTGTTCTCGTCATTGCAAGTTGGGTAAATGGAGTACATAGTCTGATGTAGTACTAGATATTTTTTTTTTTATAATTCATAAAATTATTTATCATTATATTGATCTTTTCTATTTTCTGAACATGCATTTCGATTTGAGATTTTTTTTATTTTTATTATAATACATTGCATCTTTTCTCTCAGAACATGTGTTCGAAGCAATGAGCAGCTGTGAGAGTATATTTAGCACCGAACAGTATGACAAAGAACACAAAACTGATCAATAAGAGAGAAGAGTATCACAAACAGTGTCACAAAGAACACAAAACCGATCAATAAGAAAGAAGAGTATGACAAAGAATACAAAGTCGCAGATGTCATCTTTTTGTTGGTCTTGGAGTCAGAACAGTCGTCGGCCTCTTGAAGACAGTAGGTCTCGGTCCCCTGTTAGTTGGACTTCACAGAGCTATTTGGAAATGCACATTGAGTTATTGGACCAGTGCTTTGCGAGGTTAAGAGAAGCTTTTAGAAGTTGAGAATCTTTCTGAACAAGCTGTAACTTTTGCAATGCAAGAGTTTAACACTCTTAGCAAGACTAACATGTATCTCCGGTTGACCGCAAACGAGTTAAGGGCTAGGTTCCAGAAGTACCAGAGGGAAGTGGAAGATGCGGAGTAAGTGATATACAAACTCTAATAATAAAAATCTTGATATGCTCTCTAAGTGGTAGATATATGAGTTGTTGTGCTAAATATAGTTCATACATGATTCTGAATATATAACAGAAATTGAATACCTTTCGAATCTGATATACTTGAGTTAATTCATGAGATTGATTATTTAATATCAAACCAGAGTTTTGAACGATGCATTGTAGTACTCAATTGCTTGTGTATTGTTGTATGTAACAATGTTTTGTACTAGAGTAAAGTAAGTTATCAAATCCCTCAAATTATAAACACCCAGTATTTAAGTCCCTAAATTTACAAAAGAAAGCCCTGAAATGACCAA